TTTCGTCGGAGTTTCACCGACTCATCAGGAGGCTGAACCCTCAACAGTCTGCAGAATCCCCTCACTGATTACACTGTAAATGATCATCTACCTTAACCAAAATCAAAGTAGACTATCACTCACCCACACCAGATGGCAAACTCTACAGACTGTCGGTTCACACTCCATCACAAGCCAGCAAAACATCCACGAAACAAAGAAAGGTCTGTCACCGCCGAAAAATACACTCCAGACACGCCGCTGGCACAAGAGGCTATATATATATATATATATCTATATCGTCACAAACAGAACTGCCCGGTAAAACCGTAGGCAGAGAGAGAGAAGAGGACAACAAACGAGGGGCTGTGACAATATATATATATATATATATATATACAGAGAGAGAGAGAGACGGAGGAGGGGGAAGGGGAGGGCAAGGATAAGATCTCCCTACTGAATCTGGATGCTTTCGTGGAAGGGTCCAGAACCTCCCTCGACAAACACAACCAGATTCAGGCGTGGAATCCAATTCTGTTTCCTACTTTCTTCCCCTGAATAGAACGGAATGAGATGCAGAAGCAGGATTTTTTGTACCTCTGCATGAAAACGTCCAGATTCAGTGCAAGATCTAATCCTCGCCCCGTACACCTTCTCTCTCTCTCTCTCTCTCTCTCTCTCTCTCTCTCTCTCTCTCTCTCTCTCTCTCTCTCTCCATCCCCCCTCTCCCCCCCCGGCCCCTTCTCTTTTCCCCGCCCGGGGGCACGTTGACGCGCCTGGAGAGACCTGCCTGCACGAGTTTTTCTTGCCTAACAGTGCCTATGGAAGCTCTATACTTTACTGACACGCCCTGCATCCCCAGATAAACCACCCAATTAGCCGAATGGGGTGTTTCTGGTGGCCTATCCCGGCAACCTATGGTCCAGACTCCAGAGCAGAGCATATTTGCAACTGGGCCCTCACCCACAGGGCGAGGTGTTGCTTGCACACATTAGCAGACGGTGCCCGCCTACGTCCTGTATAAAAGGTCAATATCTCTTAGTTTGTGCAGCGGAGATCTCACCCGCAAGGAAGGGAGGACGGTAGGGAGATGGAGAGGGAGAGGGAGGAAGAGAGGGAAGAGAGGGGTGGGGGAGAGAGAGAGAGAGAGAGAGAGAGAGAGAGAGAGAGAGAGAGAGAGAGAGAGAGAGAGAGAGAGAGAGAGAGAGAGAGAG